ACTTAAAAATACTAAATGCATCTGCTGTAAGTTTTACTCGCATTAAGGTGTTGATTATATTCTGTAGAAGCACAAATTTTCGTGGGGATAAAATTTTGTTATTTGTTATCTGAGAAGGTTTTGTGGGCATTAAATTTCGTTGTTACGAATGTAACCCTACTCATTATTCTGAATTGTAAAATTTCATGTGGGATTTAATTTCGTTGAATAGATAATGTTAACAATTATGGTTAACAATGAACAACTGTCGAAATAAAGGAATGTTTCTGCTTTAAAAGCATATACATGTATTGTATATATATATACATGTATATATATAAAATGTAGCTTCTCTGGCCTTTCTATTGATAATGTAAATAAGTGAGCAGAGTCATCTAGTGTGATTACATTTTTTATTACCTTGAGGGGAAAAATCATAAAACCTGTTGAAATTTTTGATTTTTTTATTCTACCGGTAATTGCTAATAGATCCAGTTTTACATAATACCAATGTTAGCTTCACTAATTTATGCATAATTAATCCCATATTCAAAAAAAACAAAAATGACTTTCCCCTGCGTTTTCCAGTGCCTCATGTTAGAGTGGGAGTGAGTTAAAAAAAAACTGCAAGATTTCAAACAGCTGCAAATCTCTGTTATTTATGTCTCTATGATGTACACCCTTGATGACAGAAAACTTTTGAAGGATTTATAAATATTTGTAAATGTTCAATCATAATTCCATATAACATACTTGTATTCTCTGCATTTGGAAAATCTTAATTTTCATTTATTTTTTTTTTAAATCCCTGAATGGAAGTAAATCTCTTCATTTTGAATTTCAGTGGTTGCATTATACCCCAATAAATACATGTATAAGTGTGTATCCCTCCTTCTTTGTTTTTGTTTTTTTTTGTTTTGTTTTGTTTTGTTTTGTTTTGTTTTTTTTTTTTGCTGAAAATAAAAGTGTGCACACAATAAAAGAGAATTTATAGTAGTTCGTATTTATTTAATATATTAATACATTACATGGTATACCCCAATGACAACAATGGCCAATGGTGTAGTATTAATTATCTGTCCTGTTTATTATGGAAAATAGCTAAATAATGAAAATTATTGGTATGACTGTCAGTTTCAAACATCTTTTTTTTAATATCCCATTTAAATAATTTTTATTTTACTCTTTATCTGGACTATATGTATCACTGGTGAAGTTCGATCTTTGTCTTTTAAACTGAACCTTTAATTTTTTTATACTGGCACAATTAACTGATAACATACAGACTTAATTTTAAATTTATTAATCCTCCCAAATATTTGCCGGTCTTGGGCCAACAGACTGTCATTAAGGTAAATAAATATTACATGTAAAACACTGACTCATGACTGTAGTATGAAACAATGCAGGAAAAGGTATACAGATCATGCTGACATACACAAACACATTATCATGAACATGAACTCAGATCATTAGAACTTCAGGTAGTGTTTGTTTTTTTCCTGACATGTAGCTTAAATTAATTTTCACTATTAAATGAATATTATATAATTGCATTCATACCATAAACTTCTCCCTGCTGTGTTCTGGGAATCCATGAACATTGATAATTTTCTGATCCGAAATCAATGAATCTACCTGAAATGTATTATAATAATAACATCAGTTTTAAAACATGAATTCCAGGATGATAAATAAATAGGAAAATATTCTTTAATGACTGTAACTTAGTAGAAGTCGCATCATTTTCATGAATCATCACAGTCAGGGACCTATATACTAGTATATAGGTCCCTGTCACAGCTATATTTACATATATTCTCTCAAAATTGTCCCAATGCAATAATGAGTGCATGTCAATAAAATGACAAGTATCAATCTTTAAATTCTCATACTTTGAAATCTTTGTACATTAAAATTAGGGCATGTCACTGTCTAAATGCACAGCATGTCTTTGACATAAATATCAACTTATATTATAAGCTGCACTATATCTTCAGTTTGTCAGGGCTAGAAGATCACGTTGAAGCAGGGACCTATACATGCTTAACAATTATATCATTATGTCCCTGGGAGAAGTAAACAGCTCCCCCCCCCCCCTCCCCTTTCATAATTTAAATGTGCAGAAATTATTTCTAATATTCACGCCACAGAAGTACATGTGTTTTTTTAGTTGACAGCTTAATGTGTACACAATATTAACAATGATCTTAGCAGCCCACGTACCTATATATAACCCAGGCAGACTGAACGTTTCCCCTGCCCATAACACATGGCGTGACCGACTCTACTTTCGTTTTTAATATGAAACCTTCGAACTTGACATGACACATAAACAAGATGCGAAACGCAAGAAAACATTTAAAATTTTTGACAATATATATTGCTACACATTGCAAAAGATCAACGTTGATTCAATGAAATTGAAATATTAGATGCAGAAATAGTTTCTCTCCGCGAGTACAACAAATGCCAATACGGAACGTGTTTACCTTCCCAGAGACATACATGTAGATATAGAAAAAATTTCTTTATGTTTTTACTAACATTAATAATAATAACTTTTAGTATATTGGTTTTAACCATTTATACTGCAATCATGCAACGATGCACATTGTAACTATACAGCATATACATGTATACATACCGTAGGAAAAATATTGAGTAGACAATAATGCCGTAATGTCATAATGGACACACATCTTTACTCATTAATTCATAGGCCATATTTAATACATAAAATTTTTCATTTATTTATTAACAGATTTTTTACTTACCTTTTACAAAGTTTACTTCGTCCTCATGTACATGACTAAGTGTGAAACGGGTACTGTATTGTGATGTCATTTACGACGTCATTTGAGTAACGAGCATGCGCACTCGCAATGTGTGTAAGTCTCGCCGAGAAGAAAAAATGATGGATCCGTGGTCATCTTATACACACTCATTACACAGATCTCATGCATCCGGTCAAATTAACACTTCATTTTTTTGAAATGGGATGCATCCTAGGACATTTTCCAGTTGATTTATGATAAAATCCAACTGAACACCACCATTTCGTGTTCATTTGGATTTTTCCGTGTTCATTTAAGAAATAAATAACAAGTTTAAAAACTTCAATGGGAATTGAAGTGGGTCGGTCACGTGATCAAATCCTGTGAAGGCCGAAGGCCTTCTCAGAAGATTTGATCACGTACCGACCCACTTCAATTCCCATTGAAGTTTTTAAACTTGTTATTTATTACTTATATATACATTTGAGACGGACAATCGAATGTAATCGAATATAAATATTGCACTAACTGTACGTCGTAGATTTTGACAAATTACGCTAGGTGTAAATCGGCTTGAAAAGCGGTTACGCTTCAAATTTACCTGACAAAGGATTGTTTTGAAGGAAATATTCTGTGAAAGGCTACTTGTGATCAATTATTATAGTGAGCATGTGTCTGGGAATTTTTGTATTCATGAGAACCCATATTCGATGTTAAAAAACTCAATTAAGAAACACGTCCGATGTTTGATACTAAAAAGTTGGAGGAATTGCGGTCGGAAAGGGATGGATGGAGACACTTGTCCGGACCAGATAACTTGAAATCAAGTACAAAATTTGATCAAAAACATAAAATCTACGATTTCAGTAAGGCATATTTATTAATTTATGATGTTGACATGGAGACACTGGCGACAGCTTACATTGTTAAGACAACGTCACAACGATCTCGATGATGGAGGTGTGCCTACCGAACTTCCAAAGTGCAGTGTTTGTCAGCTGTTTGTGGCGTGATTGCATTACATTGATATTTTCCAACAGATTTTCAAATATATTGTGAGTAAAGTTTAATGGAAAAAAAATTATAGCATTCAGAGGTCTGCTAGAAAAATAAGGGTAAACGTTGAGACTATGCAGCTCAGACATGAAACTTATAACACGTAGTCATCTATTCTCTATGTAAAATCGATCAAGAACTGTATTAAATACTCGTTTACATTGTAAATAAAATGATTATTATTTTACTTGCGTATTTTGTACATTTTTATGCATGAAAAACATGCTATATTGCTTAGTGGAGTAAGTCTTTTTATGTAGATATTACTGCGCTGTGTGATTAGGTCACGTAATGACCTATGACCTTCGAAAAACTTCATACAGGTATGAAGTTATTTGCTCTCTGCATGTTTATATAATAGAGAGATACCACAAATGTATATATTTAAACGTGTGCCGTCTAAAGCACGTGTCCAATTGACAGGGTTTACAAACACACAGGGTGTGTGTGTGTGTGTTTGTAAACCCTGTCAATTGGACACGTGCTTTAGACTGCACATGTTTAAATGAACACGGAAAAATCCAAATGAACACGAAATGGTGGTGTTCAGTTGGATTTTGTCATAAATCAACTAGAAACTGTCCTAGGATGCATCCGATTTCGAAAAATTGAAGTGTTAATTTGACCGGATTCATGAGATCTGTGTAATGAGTGTGTATACGATGACCACCGATCCATCATTTTTTCTTCTCGGCGAGACTTACACACATTGCAAGTGCGCATGCTCGTTACACAAATGACGTCGTAAATGACATCATAATAAAGTACCCGTTTCACACTTAGTCATGTACATGGGGACGAAGTCAACTTTGTAAAAGGTAAGTACAAAATCTGTAAATAAATTAAATAAATTTAATGTATTAAATATGGCCTATGAATTAATAGTAAAGATGTGTCCATTATGACATTAATTGTCTACTCTAGAATTTTCCTACGGTATGTATACATGCATGTATATGCTGTATAGTTACAATGTGCATCGTTGCATAATTGCAGTATAAATGGTAAAAACCAATTTACTAAAAGTTATTATTATTAATGTTAGTAAAAACATAAAGAAATCTTTTCTATATATGGATGTCTGTGGGAAGGTAAACACGTACATTCCGTATTGACCTATGTACGTTGTACCCGCGGAGAGAAATTATTTCTGTATCTGTATCTAATAGCATATTTCAAATCAACGTTGATCTTTTGCATTGTGTACCACAATATACTGTCAGAAATTTTAAATGTTTTCTTGTGTTTCGCATCTTGTTTATGTGTCATGCAAAGTTCGAAGGTTTCATATTAAAAACGAAAGTAGAGTCGGTCACGCCATGTGTTATGGGCCGGGGAAACGTTCAGTCTGCCTGGCTTATATATAGGTACGTGGGCTGTTAAAATCATTGTTAATATTGTGTACATATTAAGCTGTCAACTAAAAACACATGTACGACTGAGGCGTAAACATTAGAAATAATTCCTGCAAGTTTAAATGATGAAAGGGGGAGGGGGACTGTCTACTTCTTCCAGGGACATAATGATATAATTGTTAAGCATGTAGAGGTCCCTGCTTCAACGTGGTCTTCTAGCCCTTGCAAACTGAGGGTATAGTGCAGCTTTATAAGTTGATATTAATGTCAAAGACATGCTGTGCATTTAGACAGTGACATGTCACATGCCCTAATTTTAATGTGTGTCAGAATTTAAAGATTGATACTTGTCATTTTTATTGACATGCACTCATTATTGCATTGGGGCAATTTTGAGAGAATATGTAAATATAGCTGTGATGATTCATGAATATGATGCGACTTCTACTAATTTAAGTTACAGTAATTAATTTTTTTTTCCTATTTATCATGGAATTCATGCATGTTTTAAAACTTACATGTATATTATAATACATTTCAGGTAGAAAGATTGATTTCAGATGAGAAATTATTAATGTTCATGGCTACTCAGAACACGGCAGGGAGAAGTTTATGGTATGAATGCAATTATATAATATTCATTTAATAGTGAAAAGCTACGTCAGGAAAAAAACAAACACTACCTAAGTTCTAATGATCTGTGTTCATGATGATGTGTTTGTGTATCAGCATGATCTGTATACCTTTTCCTGTCATGAACATGATGAATCAGTACTGATTTACATGTAATACCTTAATGACAGTCTGTCGGTCCAAGACCGGCAAATATTTGGGAGGATCAATGAATTCAAAATTAAGTCTGTATGTTATCAGTTAATTGTGCCAGTATCATAAAAAAAAATTAAAGGTTCAGTTTAAAAGACAAAGAACTTCACAAATAATAGTCCAGATAAAAAGTAAAATAAAATTATCTAAATAGGATTAAAAAAAAAAAGATGTTTGCAACTGACTGTCATACCGATAATTTTCATCATTTAGCTATTTTCCATTTTTATAAACATGTACAGGACAGATAATTAACACTATAACACCATTGGCTATTGTTGTGGTCGGGGCATACCATGTAATATATTAAACAAAATAATACGAACTACTATAAATTCTCTTTTATGATGTGCACACTTTTATTTTCAGCAAAACAAAAAAAAAGACAAAGAAGGAGGGGTACACACTATACAATCATTTTTTTATTGGGGTATAATTCAACCACTGAAATTTAAAATGAAGAGATTTACTTCCATTCAGGGATTTTTAAAAAGATTTAAATGAAAAGATTTTCCAACTGCAGAGAATACAATTATGTTATATGGAATTATGATTGAACATTTACAATATTTATAAATCCTTCAAAATGTTTCTGTCATCAAGGGTGTCCGATAGAGACATAAATAACAGAGATTTATGTAGCATGTGTAGCTGTTTGAAATCTTGCAAATTTTCTAACTCCCTCCCATTCTAACATGAGGCACTGGAAAATGCAGGGAAAAGTCATTTTTGTTTTTTGGAATATGGTATTAATCATGCATAAATTACTGAAGCTAACATTGGCAGTATGTAAAACTGGATCTATTCATTCTTTATGAAAACTCGATCACTGGTCTGAGGCCATATTCCTATAGGATTAATTAGGGGTAATTAAAATTAAAAAAATCAAAAACTTCAACAGGTTTTATGATTCTTCCCCTCAAAGTAATAAAAAATGTAATCACACTAGATGACTTTGCTCACTTATCTACATTATCAATAGAAAGGCCAGAGTAGCTACATTTTATATACATGTATATATATCGGTATACAATATATACTTTAAAAGCAGATTGAATTATATTCCTTTATTTCGACAGTTGTTTGTTGTTTACATTATCATCAGAATTAAATCCCCACATGAAATTTTACTTTACAATACATGTATAATGAGTCGGGTTACATTCGTAACAAAGAAATTTAATGCCCACAAAACCTTCTCGGATTCAAATCAACAAAATTTTATCCCCACGAAAATTTGTGCTTCGATCTACAGTATATAACCAACACTTTAATGTGAGTAAAACGTACAGCAGATGCATTTAGTATTTTTAAGTGCAGTGACTGGAAAGGCACAGTAATTTCAGACCAAACTCAAGTTTACTCATTATTTAGTATTTAGGAACAAGTTATTTGTAAGTGTATCAAAAATAATAAGACAAGACATTTAAATATACAACAAAAAATATAAAGGGCCTCATAATCTTTCAGAGGGACTCTATTAATTAATGTTTGATATCGATTGGCAGACTCTGTAAACCTGAGTGAACAATTATGTTAAGAGAAGTTTGTTAATAAAGAGAATCTAGATCTGTTACCACTTAACCAGATTATTAAAATTTAATTTAAAAGGTAAACATGTTGTTGATAGTGAAGAAGTCTGTGTGCCAAGAATATAATATTTTATTTCAAATGAGCAAGAAATGTCATCATCTGACAGTGTGTATTACTTAGATTGCATAAATTAAGTTTTCTTTATATATTTTGTGATGGAATTAGAAGAAATCTGAAAGATTGTAACCCCCCCCCCCCCCCAATTTTTTACCCTCCATGATTATTTTAATTTCAGTTTTCACATACAAATTAATAACACTGTAGTATATACTGCACACCAAAAGAGCTCTGATTTTATGGTATTTTATGGAGATAGAGACTTATTTGCCCTGGGAAATCCTAACAGTCTGTTACTGAATTTCAATTAATGCAAGCATTTTTAACAATTGAATGAGAAAATCATATTGTATAAAGGTATAAATAATGAGCTAATCAGATCTATTTTATTTTCTTGAATTTCAACATGTTCAACATAGCCAGGGTACATGGCATATTTACACCCTAAGAAAAATATTCAAAGACTTTAAAGTATTGACAGAAATCTCTACACATTTACTTGAGTGAGAAAGCATGTAAATAAAGTGTTCAATTTATTTATCTTGGAATAAAAACATTTTTGATTTAGTGTATAGATCATGATAGAGGGTCCTTAACAGTCCTTGGTCTTGATTCTAATCGGGATCGGTATTCAACTTAACGTTTACTTTCATTTTAATCATGCGAATGTGATTTTGACAGCTGACAAGAATATGTATGAACTGGTTGTGAAACTTTGATGAGGATGTACAGTATGAGATATGTACATTTAATGTCCTCTACACAAGGAGGGTTTTATTCCAATTAATTGTAAGTTACTGCAGATTAAATTTGGACCACATTCACACAGAGAATTTAAGGAGGAACAGGGCCTTGAGCTGAAAAAAATCTAGTCAATGAATTTTTTTCATATTTTGTATATTTTTAACTTAATATGTCCTACACATTTTAAAAGTAATTCTGCATTCAGATTTCTTGACTTATTTAAGTGATATCGCCATACAAAAATCGCTCCTCACAGTGTCTGTAAATAGTTTTGGTTCTTCGTCTTTACGGGTCCATAACTAAGTCTAAAATGGAAATTTTTAAGCACAAACAAGAAATATGTATAAGGACATGCATCTCTTCAAGTATTCAGAATATATATAGAATTAAAATTCTTTAAGCATTTTTGCTATTTTACAATGTATATGGATTGGATGAATACTTTTCAAGACATCTTCAACGATGAAAAATTCATTTGGGAAATAATTCTGTCAATAAATATTTGAAGATTTACGATTGAACTGAAGTCCTTCTTCATAGTACCGTAATCAACTGTAGCAATATCGTAAGGTGAAGATAATTACCTCATATCACAGAGGACAGAATTGAACAAGACATAAGCGTGGTAAAAACGCTTCATCTTTACATTTTCCGAGTACGGGAAAAACAACTGTGACGTCACAGGAAAACTTATACAACCGAAATGAAATATTAATTCAGAGAATCTTTGCTACTAAACATGTAAAAATTATTTTTGTAGTTCCTGCTTCAAAAAATACATCACGATGCCTTGATTGTGATCTGTTATCATAGACCTAATGCTTTAGGTATATGGTTTCTATGTTTATAAACTGACTAAGTCTTACCAGGTAACCAACATATACCTGCATGATCTCATTGCACTGAGAGATCATATATGACATCACTGACTCGTTAGACTGTAGCATAAAGAAATAGATGGGTGGATCGATCAATTTCACAATTTACACGATCATTTAAAACTCTTAATTATTTTACATTAAATGTTTAAGCTTAACAAGTTGAACAAAAATTACACAAAAAATGCTGATTTTAACAACGTTTAGCACCTACATTAACAGTAACTAAGGGGATGACAAATCCCATTGCCCAATGCCCATGACTAGTGAATTTTAAGGGTGGGCAAGTGAAATTTTATCAACCACTTGCCCGTGGGCAAGTGACTTTAAAAAATTAAATCCATATGTACCGGTAAGTCATAGAAATAGAGCTAGACACAGGGGCTTGCATGATCTACTCATTATTTGTCTTCCTATTTTTTGGAATATATATAAATATATACAGTATTAGATTATGGTCATGATGGTGGGGCAAGCAAAAATTCAGGTAGGGCAAGTAAATTTTGACCGTGCACTTGCCCTCAGACAAGTGCCTAAAAAATCTATTTGTCAGCCCTTTTGACTATGATGCAGTCAATTCAATCATGTGACATGTGTCCTGTCCCCCCTTAATGCGAATAATGCAAATTAATTTACTGTACATTAAATTTCTTTGCATTAACTCCATGTGAACACCAAGCAAAGCTATAATTAGAATTAAATTTTGATACATGCTTAACTATAGCACAATTAAGCCACATGCCATATGTTGGTGGTCAGGTACATTATTTACATGATTAAATATAATGAAACAAATGATATTATGACCTTAAGTTGAAAATACACTATTTTATGTTTAATTATATTTTGTATTTCCTATCCTATACATACTACCGGTACATGATTAGATATATTATGTACATGTAAATATATTGATGATGCTTTTTCAATGGATAGTAATTATTCATTTTTATTCCTACATTAATTGATTCTGGTGTGACAGGTCAACAGAGGATGCTTTCTCCTCCTAGGCACCTGATCCCACCTCTGGGATTTCCAGGGGGTCCTTGTTTTATCCAGGCTCTCACAGATTTGTATTTTTTATAGATTGTTTGAGATTGATCACTGTTCATTATACATGTATTTAACTTTTTTTTATTCACATGTATATCCCTTTGAACTCAAAATTAAAGACACCACAGAGGCTGATGCATCTGTTTCATATTTGAATATTTTACTAGATAAAGACATTAATGGCAAAGTAACAACTAAACTTTATTATAAACTTTCATTTTTCTATAATTATTAACTTACCTTACTTATGTAGCATTATCACCTGCATATGGAGTTTATGTCTCCCATTTGATTCAAAGGGCAAGAGCATGTGTACTACATGTATGTACAAACAATTACTAAAATGGGGCAAGCTATTGGCATATAAGTTGTATAGCCAAGGTATACAGGTATAGGTATAGCCAACATTTTGCAAATTCTGTGTTTGCAGGGTTTGACACTAAGGCATGTCCAACTGACCCAGTCTAGTAAATGAGTGGTCCGGTCGTGTCAAATGTTCGTGATCTAGACCGACTAGTTGTGTGAATAAAATAATGTTATCTCACATTTCAGTCTTTCAAATAAATGTTCTATAAACTTTTTAAACAATATTTTTTTAATTTTCTGATTGTAAACACAGCCATCGCTCTGAAAAAGAAAACTTCACAGCATGACACAATTAATCCTTATTTTTATCCTGGCTGTAATAGACAATTTGCGATCGAAACTAGCTTCATTCAGTATCAATTGGTATGAAAATTATTGAATAATATATATCGAATAATATATTCTTTAATTTATTTATATTTACGGTAATAATTTTTTAAAGTTCCTTGCATGTTCTTTAAAGCCAGCCCTATAATATTTGCATGTTCTGTTTAACCCGACTCAATGGGCTGCGACCTATGGAAAAGTCTGACAAAATGTATTATCTTAATACATGCGAGAGATAGTATTGTTTCGAACTTTTTTCACTAAAATACCAGGTTATAAAAAGAAAAAAAAATTAAGTTTGGTCGGGGCTTAAGTGTTTTTACGGTCAGTGCTAGTCAAAATTATGGGAAGTAGCCCGACTTGTATAGTAGTCATAAAAGAAAATGTCAAACCCTGGTTTGATACAATGACCTTGTTAACAAATATAGTCTACACATAAGTCAAATGTTTACTGATGTTTTTCATACAGAAAGTGTTAGGCCATTATTTTTATACTGAATTGTCAACAGATTTATCCATTCTCCCTATTATGACAAGGAGCTCACAGCAGGTGTAACCAGTTGACAGGGGATGCTTATTCCTCCATGGCAACTGATCCCACCTCTGATGTTTTAAAGATCTATGTTTGCTATGCTCACAATTAGTAATGTTTCAATGCACCTTTGAGCTTAAATACTGTTTGTAATCTTCATATTTCAGTAAAGGTCTGCAAAATTCTAATAGATGGGAAACAATTTGTCTTTTCAGTTATGAACATTTCTTATCAACAAACCCTGTAAGAAGAAGGACCTCTGTTCTACAGCTTGTGGTGGATCATAGAACACATGATATCAACCAAGTTTAAAGGAAGCATAGATAGCCACAATAGAAAGATTTAAGGATTGTGAGAAACCAAATATAACACAATTCAGAATAAAGTCCATGGGAGTGTGAGAAAAAAGAATAGTAGAGTGTAATCCTAAGGACTGTCTTCAGACTTCCACAAATTCAGAAAAATACTGTTGAACTCATGAGTGAGTGAGTGACAAAATTAACAAAACTCATGATTCTCAAAAATTCAAGGAAGATGTGCGAGTTGAGACTAAGACGGATTTTAGGAGTTTTGATGACAAAGAATCAACCATTGGAAATATGGCTATTTGAACTTGGATCTCATTATTGGTAAGTAAATTAAACATTTATATTAATTAGTTATATTGATTGTTAATGACCTAGCAATTTTAATTACTACCATTTAATTTTAACTAATTTTTACATGTAGCTTCTCACATTGATTTTTTTTTTAAAATACATGTACATATATTTTTAATTTTCATGAAAGCTAACGGACAAGGTGCATGTGTGACTTAACACCCCCCCCCCCCCCCCTTTTCCAGTTTTTAGCTCACCTGAGCTGAAAGCTCAAGTTAGCTTTTCTGATCACACATTGTCCAGCGTCTGTCCGTCCAACTGTAAACTTTTCACATTTTCAACTTCTTCTCAAGAACCAAGTACTGGGCCAATGTTAAGCAAAGTTGATACAAAGCATTCCTGGGTAAAGGGGATTCTAAATTTTAAAATGAAGGGCCAAGTTTCCTTCCAAGGGGAGATAATCAAGAAATGCAAAAATAGGTTAGGGCCATTGAAACATCTTCTTTCAAGAAGCAACGAGCCAGAAAAGCTGAAACTTATATGTAGGCTTTCTGAGGTAGTGTAGATTGTAAATTATTCAAATCTTGCCCCTGCGGGGCATGATGGGGCCACAAATTAGGGGATGAAAATTTTACAATGAAATATATAGGAAAAATCCTCAGATATCTTCTTCTCAAGAACCACTGTGGCAGAAAAGCTGAAACTTATATAAATGCTTCCTACAGAATATTAGATTATAAATTGTTCAGATCATGGCCCCGCGGGTGGAGGGTGGGACCACAATAGGGAATGGATGTTTTACATTGAAAATATTATAGGAAAAACATCTTTAAAAATCTTCTTCTCAAGACTACTGGACTATTAAGAGGGTTGTCCCTAAGTATTGAAAAAAGCAGGGAATATATAAAAAGTAGAACAGTCAGGGGCATGATGGAATCAAGTTATTTTTTAAAATAACTTTTTTAGGTTACTTCACTTATTTATTACTAAACAAAGAAATAACTCATTTGAGTTAATTCTTAAAACATAGAATGCCTATCAATTTTGCCAAAAAACATCAATTTTTTGAGTTTGCTGCAGATTTAAGATGATGTAAGACTGAGAAAGTTGTAAATGTATGTACTTCTATTAATATACTCAACAGACTTCATATCTCCTGAGCAGATATGATGATATTTATCAAAATATATATAACTTCCGCCAATTTTGCCAAAAGTGAGACTAATTTTCCTAAAATCCTTGGATATTACTGTACAATCTCTTAGTATGTCTTACATTTTTTGTGCAAAGCTGTAGATTTTTGTGCAAGAGTTCTAAAGTGAGGTTGGTTAAGGTTTAAATAACTGAAATAAGTTAGGCCAAATAAAAAAATATGTGTGGTTCCGGTTACCCGACCTTCCCTATTTTATACCCCCGACCCTAAACTTTTTTTTGGCAATTTTCATATTTTTTCCGGAATTTTCCCCTATTTTCATCAATGGCTCCGGTTTAAGTTTTAGTTTCAGCAATGACGGCCTCCTTGCAAAACATAGTGCTAGTGTTTAATAGTGTTAAATCCAAAGCAAGCTAGCATGTAGGTGTCCCCTACCAATATTGACTAGTACATTATCACACCACATCTAAATGCCATTTGCAAAGCAGTGATTAGGTATAATTTAGAAAAATTAAGAAAATCATTTTGATTTAAAAAAAAAAAAAAAAAAAAAAAAATCCCTACCTACCTACCCTAATTTTTTTGGAAGTGTAACCGGAACCACACATATTTTTTTGTTTGGCCTTATGATTTGTTGAATTTCAACTTGTTAAATCTTAAAGATAGATTACTTTTACTGTCATGAACCTTTTCCATCTACTTAATAACCCAAGTACAGCATGAATAAAGCTTTTCAGATACCAGTAGGTTTAAAATAATGAATAGTAAAGTATCAATAACTGGAATAAGTTGTATTTTTTTCAGCTTAAATTAGAGGGATTGACCCACTAAAATACCAGTTTTTTTTTATAACTTGCGTATAAGTCAGATAATGAGTTTTGGACCAAAGTTTAACTCCCAAAAAACTGACTTATAGGCGAGTATATACGGTATATAGGAAAAATTTTAAATATCTTCTTCTCAAGAAATACTGTACTAGAAAAGATGAAAATTAGATGAAAGCTTTCTTAGGTAGCGTAGGTTTTAAATTGTTCAGATCATGGCCCCTGGGGGTAGGGTGGGGCCACAATAGGGATTACGTTGGATAAATCTTTAAAATGCTTAATTCTTCTCAAGAACAACAAAGCCACGATGAAACATAATAATGTAAGAAGCAACCTCTGGTAGTGTAGATTCATTTTTTATTAAATGATGGCCCCTATATATAGGGTTGGGCCACAAAAGACAACAAAATTTTACATAGGAGTACATGTATATGGGGGAAAAATCTGTGGCAGAACAGAAGGCCAAAGTGACTAATAGGTGAGTGTTGTTGCCCATGGGCCTCCTGTTTTGTTATCAGCAACTAGCTTTGTTTTGAGTCTTATCTCATAAATGCTTTCTCATTCAAAACTTACACAAAGTCTAGAGTAAATATTCATTTAATTAAAAATAGGGATGAGTATCAAAATGCAAAAAAACTTAATCATGACAATATTTTGATTGATTGATTGATTGTTTGTTGTTTAACGTCCCTCTCGAGAACTTTTCACTCATATTGAGATGCCACCACTTGCCGGTGGAGGGCTACAAATTTTGACCTATACTTGGCACTCTGGGCCATTGAGCAGTGAGGGTTCTTTTCCGTGCCAGCACTTACTGCGACACGGGACCTCAGTTTATACGGTCTCATCCGAAGGACCGGTCTCCACGTCCCGCAGTGGGATTTGAACCCGCGACGTAAGGATCAACTCCTTACTCCGCGACTCTAGAGCAGATGCTCTAACCACTGTGCCACGCGGGCGACGACAATATTTTGACTTGTGTTTTATGATATATATTGATGCATATCACTTAATTTTTACTTTTGTTCTACCTGTTCTATAGCATATTAAAAAAAATTCCTAGAAGTTTCCACTGTAAAATTGTTAAGAATAAATGTATTCTTCAATCATTATGAAATATGGTTTGTTTATAAATATAATTTATCATGTTTATAGAATCAGTAATCCAAAATTCTATATCTCAAAAAAAAAAAAATTACATTTATAAAGTACAGTGTAGTTGTACTTTAAGATGACTCAAATTCTTTTCTGATTTTTAAATTGAAAACAAAAAAAGTAAAGATAATTAAGATTGCCTTTAACTGGTAACCAACTTCAGTTGTATCTCCATATACTGGTGTAACAATTAATACACCCCTAATTAAGAGACTATGTGCGACAAATAAAGGACATATAAATTTTATGAATTTATAATTGCAATAAAATCAGGAGATATTTTTAGATAAAATCTGTTGAAAGCAAGTTTACGTGTCAGTTAATCATGTTAATTGTGTAAGTTTAACTGATAAGAGGGATATGTTTAAGACACCAAGTTGACAACATATTTAAAAAAATGGTGAATGAATTCTAGCAATGGACAGACTTTCTACAGCACAGTGTATATATAATATAAACAGTGTATATATTTTATATATTTATGACACATCATGTACATGTACTAAGATCAATATTTTCATGATGTACATTTTAAAATTAATGAATATACTACTGTTCCAGAGTCTCCAAAATATTTGTACACCATATTATGTAATTATTTTAGTCCCCTAGCTACCAGTGAAACTGGAGGGGACTACAGGTTTCTCCTTTATCTGTCTTTCAGTCTGTCTGTCAGTCTTTGTCACTTGGTTTTCTGGATTTTTTTTTTCTAAACTATGGGCATTGGTGGCATATTTCTGTCCCCTACATGCAAGATAAATTATGTTAACATGCAACATAATTATGTAGATATGCGACTTTATTTATGCCAACATGCAAAATAATTATGTTGACATGCAAGTTACCAACTTCTCGAGAGAATCTAATTTTAATGTTGGTAAACTTATACTTACGCACGCCATTATATGACATCATGCAAGCAAGATGTAACAGAATTATGTTGACAAGCAACTTATTTATGTTTACATGCAAGATAATTATGTAGACATGCGACTTATTTATGTCAACATACATGATAATTATGTTAACATGCAACTTATTTATGTCAACATGCAAGATATTATGCTGACATGCGAGTTAATTATGTCAACATGTGAGATATGTTTGTTGACATGCAACTTATTATCTTTCATGCATATGTTGACATATATAATTATTTTGCATGTTTAATTATAACTCGCATGTTGACATAAATAAGTTGCATGTTGACATGAATAAGTCACATGTTGACATAAATAAGTTGCATGTTAACATAATCATCTTGCGTGTAAAATATATAACTCGCATGTTGACATAAATAAGTCGCATGTTGACAAATATAAGTTGCATGTTAACATTATTATCTTGCAATGTTGAGATAAATAAGTTGCATGTCTACATATTTATCTCACATGTTAACATAATTATTTTGCATGTTGACATAGATAAATCGCATGTCTACATAATTATGCTTCATGTTAACATAATTTATCTTGCATGTAGGGGGCAGAAATATGCCACCAAATAAACACTCGCAGATCTATACGTGTATTTATGTAACCGGGTTTTCCCATGAATGATGAAAACACTGGTCAGTTTGTAATTTAGGGTTCTTTAATTCTGATGTGGATACTATTTTATAGATATATAATTCAGCCCGAATTGTGGACCTAGGCTGCATACATAGGTGTTACCGCTACTTTATCTAAACCATATCTGGACTGTGATCAGGTCTTATAGTCCAGTCAGAAATATATAATATCTAATTAGACAAGATCCCAGCACTTTGGCTTGTGGCTGGATTCAAAGTGAATTTTAAAAGAACAAAGAGTAACTCACTAAGGAATGTGACCTCAATGACCGACCAATAAAATCTCTGCAAAACAAGAATAGCCAATCGACTATTCCTAGCCTCTAAACTGGTTCTCACATATACTAATGAATAAACTAGAGAGTTCTAACTATGAAAAGATAATTCTAAATCTAAAATAAGTATTACCATACAATATGTGCAGTAAGGTTAGTAAATGTAATTATCAAATGGAGTTTAAGTTTATTTATTTATGGCAATGTGTTCATTTATTAAACTATTTTATATTCAATTTATTTACAGTTTAAAATATAACATATAACCCATTACTACATTTAGCTGATTTTTAGGTCACCTGAGTCACTCAGGTGACCTATTGCTATCCGTTCTCGTCCGTCGGCGTGCATCGTGCGTTAACATTTGAACATTTTTAGCTTCTTCTCTGAAACCGCTTAACCAATTTCAACCAAATTTGGCATATAGCATCTATGGGTGAAGGGGAACAAAAATTTTGAATTTCATGGTCCCTGCCCCCCTGGAGCCTGAGGGGTGGGACTTAAAAACCACCAAAAATAATGCAATCTTTAAAAATCTTCTTCTTTACTCCTGGACATCAAGCAGTCAAACTGTTGGCATCATTGTAATAAGCATTGAGCCCTCTACCAAAATTGTGAAATTCATGGCCCCAGGGTCAAGGGTTCTGGCCCCAGGGTGGGGCTATATAGATCATATAGTGAAAGTGCATTATTTCTTTGAAAATCTTCTTCTCTGCTCCTGGGTATTAAATAAGGTAACTAAGTACATAGTTATGATGAGCAAGAGTGCCTCTTCCAGAATTGTGAAATTCATGGCCCCAGGGTCAGGGGTTCTGGTGTTAGGGCAGGACTCTATTGATTATATAGTGAAAATGCATTAATTCTTTGAAAATCTTCTTCTCTGCTCCTGGGTATTAAATAGAGTAACTAAGTACATAGTTATGATGAGCAAGAGTGCCTCTTTCAAAATTGTGAAATTCATGGCCCCAGGGTCAGGGGTTCTGGCCCCAGGGTGGGGCTATATAGATCATATAGTGAAAGTGCATTATTTCTTTGAAAATCTTCTTCTTTGCTCCTGGGTATTAAATAAGGTAACTAAGTACATAGTTATGATGAGCAAGAGTGCCTCTTCCAAAATTGTGAAATTCATGGCCCCGGGGTTAGGGGTTCTGGTGTAAGGGCGGGGCTCTATTGATTATATAGTGAAAATGCATTAATTCTTTGAAAATCTTCTTCTCTGCTCCTGGGTATTAAATAAAGTAACTAAGTACATAGTTATGATGAGCAAGAGTGCCTCTTCCAAAATTGTGAATGTCATGGCCCCAGGGTCAGGGGTTCTGGTGTTAGGGCAGGGTTCTATCAACTATATAGTGAAAATGCATTAATTCTTTGAAAATCTTCTCCTCTGCTCCTGGGCATTAAGGTGATAAACTAAGTACATAGTTATGATGAGGAGGTGGGCCCCTTCCAGAATTGTGAAAGCCATGGCCCCTGGGTCAGGGGTTCTGGTGTTAGGGCAGGGCTCTATTGATTATATAGTGAAAATGCATTAATTCTTTGAAAATCTTCTTCTCTGCTCCTGGGTATTATTTAAACAAACTAAGTGCATGGTTATGATGCATAAGGATGCCTTTTTAAAAATTGTGAATTTCATGGCCCCAGGGTCAGGGGTTCCGGTGTTAGGGCGGGGCTCTATTGATTATATTGTGAAAATGCATTGATTCTATGAAAATCTTCTTCTTTGCTTCTGGAGATTATTTAAACAAACTAAGTGCATGATTATGATAGGCAAGGATGCCTCTTCCAAAATTTTTTAATACATGGCCTCAGTTTTTGGGGTTCTTGAGGAGGGGGGGGGGGGGCTCTATTGATTATATAGTGAAAATGCATTAATTCTATTAATTAATCATTAACTAATCCTCTATGCTCCTTAGTGTTGAGCTGATAAATAAATTGCTTAGCTTTGATGAAGATGGGAGCTTCGAACAGAATTTTTAAATCTTGTGGTCCTAGGGTCAGGGGTTCTGGCATAACGAGGAAGGGGGGGGGGCTTTTGATAATATAGTGGAAAAGTGTTAATTCTTTGAAGTCCATAGTTATGAAGATGAGGGTAACTCTTCCAAATTTGTAAATTTCTTGACCTTTGGTCTTGGGTTCTGGTGTTTGGGTAAGGCTTTGTTGAATCTGTAGTGAAAATGCATTGTACCTGTGAAATTCTTCTCTGCTTCTGGGCATATCGAAAGCAAACTGTGTAAAAGTTTAAATGATATAAGTAAGCGTATTTCTACCAGATTTTTGAACATCTGGACAATTCGTCTAAGCATTCTGGTCCTGGGCAGGGCTCTATTAATTTGTACTCTACTGAGAGAAGTTATTCCCCTTTTCCATTCATCACTGTAAATAATGTTTTTGAAAGGTTAATAGAATAAGATAATTATGCAAGAATGTTTATTGTATAATTCAAAAAGTACTTTCTTAGTTTTAATAATCAGGTAGACCTGTAAGTAATAGATAAATAAAAACGAGACAAAAATAACTTATCTTATTAAAAGTTCTTCAAAGACCATAAGAGAGGTCAATGCTAGAGGTCTTAATATGGGTTTAAAAATAGTACAGATGCACTAATAGTTTGTTAATAGTCTGCATGGTGATAATATTAAGTGGGGGACAGATTAGAACTTAAGTTATGAGTAGATACTGAATACTAGACTAATTATTTTGTTGATCCTGATATTCCTACTTCTCTTGCTTTAGGGCAACAAAGCTTCATCCCTCAGTGTATTTAACTTCTAAATTGTTGTATTATACTCAGGTAACCGTTAAGGACCTTGGGCCTCTTGTTAGTATATGTGAGTGTACCTTGATAATTAAGTTACAGATCAATTTTGCATTTCATTCCACTTTGTTGATTTTTGACATAATTATAGCCTTTTTAATTTTTAAGGGGAACCAGATTACACTTGCCAATAACTCCAAATTCAAATAATATACTGTTTTATATATATATATATATATATATATATATATATATATATATATATATATATATATATATATATATATATGCAGGAAGCATTTGATGATTTGAAGTGCTTTTTTTAAACATGCATGATTAAATGATCATTTAAATTTAATTTCAATATAGATGCATGCATGATGGTGAGCTGAAGAAGAAAACCATGACAAAAGAAAGTTCCTAGTGTTCATCATGCAGCCATTTTGAATGCCCAACTGAGAGAGCAAGCCAGTGTGAAAAATTATTTCTTGGAAGTTAAACAAAATCTGCTGTGAATTAAAGCTTTAAAAGTACATTTAAAAACATTCTGATTCATCTATAAGTGAGACTAGATTGCCTTTGACAGTTGCCAGTGGAATTCGGATCTGAATTGTACCAGTATTAATAAATTGAAGTGATTTGCCTTAAAATTACATTTGTATATGGTGTACATTAATTACTTCAAGGAGATATAATACACCTGTTTAAACAATGAGGTCCATAGCAAAAAAACATGGATTTGGAATTTAGCTCACCTTATCCAAAGGCTCAATTGCACAATTCTGATAAAAAGAAGTCTCTGGTATCCAACAATGCAACATTTATATGTTTGACCGTTTGTCCTCCATTAACTTTTAACATTTTCTTTTTTTTTTTCTAACATTTGGTCAATGTAAACCACATTTGGTACAATGTATCTCTGCTTAAAAGGAATAAAGCTTATTCAAATAAAGGTGCTGAATCCTTTTTCAAGGGGAGATAATGAAGAAACATGAAAAATGGGATAATGTCATTAAAAATCTTTCATTTTAAGGTATTCAATGTATAATGAAGGAATGTTGAGCAGTTTTGAATCATTTTAAACTAGTTAAATATGTATTGCTAGATAATGATGAACGTAAAATGAACCAAATTCACATGACTGATAACATATTAGAAACTGACCATTTTGTACCGTAAACATTTTCAAGAGTTATCTGCCCTTGATGCAAAGAAGAAAATTTAAATTTTGTCAATATATCTGTAGCAGATGACTTATTTTATTTCATATTTTAATAAGGAGAGAGTTTATGCATATTTTCACAAGAGATTTGTATGAAGTTCAAATTACTTTTTAGAATATCTAAACAAAACATGCGCTGCCCATAGACTTCATTGTAAAATTCAAGGTGCAATTACATGTAATTGGACAATAATCAAAATTTTGTAAATTCCTTTGGTGGTGTACTTTTATTTAATAACATCTTCAAATGCTAACTTGATTAAAAACACTGGACAATTCATTTATTAGGTACAGAATATGGTCATTATACATTGAATACCTTAAGAACAACTTGGTCATAAAAGACAAATGTTATCCAAGAGTTTTCTTAATGAACATAGGTTCAAGTTTTTTCATTGTCTGTAAGGTGAGGATAGAGCTGCAGAGGGGTTAAAAGTTTTGCATGAAAATATGTATAAGTGAAAAACTAGCAGGGTGACATAAAGCAAATTCATATGCCAACATTACAACATCATTATGATAGAGATTTAATTTTGTTCAAATTATAAACATTGGGGTTAGGTAAGGGCTAAAAGTACTGTTTTCATTTTGCATGTATCTATGTGTCAATATTTAATTTTGTTTAAATTATGGACATTGGGATTAGAAAAGGACTAAAATTAGGGTTTAAATTTTACATGTATACAGGTGTCAACATTTTTCATGGGAATATGGAGGGGAAAAATCTTTAAAAACAATCTTTTTAAGAGCAATAGACACAAAATGACTCAGGCAAGCATTTTGGCTTTTGGCATCTTCAGATTTCATTCTTACAATTTTAGGAACTTAAAAGTACACCCTATTTTGAAGAAACACAGCGAGTTTGATTTTTTTAAAATAATAAATAATTTTAATGGAAAAAGATGAATTAAGCCTATAGTCATAAAGGTCCAGTTTTCCTTTTGAAGTATTTATAAGGGGTTTTACCTATTTAAGAAGTAATTTGAATTTGTACTTGGTTGTACATGGCATACATCCATATCTATGTAACAGTATATTATATGCAAATATTGTTCAGAATTAGTCGACTTATTAATGAAATTATTTGTTAAGATTAAAGTGGGCCTTCTGGTCAGGTGGTTTTTTATTTTGCAATTACTTTTTCATCATTTTTTTTTAAATCAAATTTGAAAATATGTAAAGAGATAAGGCTTTATTCACTATTTATATTTCAAATCTCAGTCTATTTTATTATTTGATCTACTAGCCTAGCCCGTCTTCTTTAATGTGCTAAAATATTCTCATTACATAAATGAATTAATAAAGTAAATTCATATTCATTTTATCAAATATCTATGTATGTTTGATTGTGTCGGTCAAAAGTTTTTTAGAACTTGTAACCAAGCTTAAAAAATTTTTTGTTTGCACATGCAATATCCGGTAACAATATCCGGTAACATGCCTCAAATTTTGACCAAAATTTGCCACACTCTTCCTGCGACCGCCCTACGTTCAACGAAGGAATCAGTGAAAATGTTATGCACCCCCTCCCCCGCTCCACGTTTTGGGTACTTATATGAGAATCCACCCCCCCCCCTTTTTTCCAAAATTCCCGATTTGCATGATATTGATGGAAGGGGTTAAGAAAAATAATATATTATTTAATAAGGTTGGATACAGGTGTGATTGAACCAGGGCTTTAGAGCAAACCCCATTAAAGAAATTTAAGAAATACTTAAGAAACCAGTTTTTCTTGATTATTTCTTTCTTCTGTGGAGAGCAGTTCATAAATCCACAAAACCTCTTTTCACTAAATTAATTTTCATGCTACAGGAGTTGAAGTGTCTTGATTTTATTCCTTATTCCTTATTAATAATTCATCATTTATTTATTCAAAATGAAAATTTAAAAAAATGATAATTACAAGTTTCAGTGCCCCCCCCCCCCCCCCCGCCCCCTAAAAAACAAAAAGTTCAACGAATGAACGCATTAACTGAAGATGGGTATTAAATTGTTGTCCTTCCTCTTTGAAATGTGTTCTATAGAATGCAGTCATCAAGATCATAATGGTATCTAAGAAATTTTATCGATGTAGATAACCACTACAACGTTGACTAGTGCAATTTTAATGTGTATCATGGTTTATACCTATAATATATGTTTTACAAGATTGGCGATATCGTGTTGCATTTTTGAACTTCACAGAAATTCTCTTTTTTGTGACCATGGCAACTCCATTCACTGAAATAAAAAAGCGAAACAAAGAACTGAGTGTATCTTAGCGTACGCTACTTGTATTCCAAGTTTTATTTAAATCGGACAAAACTGTAAGAGGAGAAGCAATTTGAAAAAATACAAGTAGATCAGACAGTTGAAAGTCCAGACTTACAAATGACGGACACTACCATTGCATAAGATCTTTTTATCACATAAAATCGAAAAGTAGAGCTTAAAACTAATTAATGCATGCTTTGTTTTGATAGCATCAGTCACTTCTCTTCAAAGGAAGTACATGTATTACTTCTCGATTTATTTGTATTTCTGGGAAGTTATTTAATATTCAGGAAAAAAAACTGCTCGCCCGGAGACGTAAAACAAAGCATTAATGTGCCTTATGAAATGAACTTGTCAGTCCAGTAGCGTTGTCCTATATACATGTATTATAGATTTTAGCAAGAGTGAGTATCTGAGGGCTCGGAAATACAACATCGTTATTTTGGTGTATTATACTTTCATGTAAATTATTAGAATTTGATTCGTCGAGAAACATTTTTTTAAAAAATACCGTTACCCTCTGAATGATGAAACCGCGCCTTCCAGATAGAATTTAACAACAGTCATCATTGCTTGACGACAGATGGTATCATCCCCCCCCCCCCCCTCCAAAAAAAAAGACCGCCCGGAATCTATGCGCGAGCGCTTCAGCTTTATTTGTATTTGTATAAAACATTCAGAATAATATAATATAGAATAAAATAATAAATACTTCATGTAGTAGAGGGTAACATTTGAAAATTTACAATGTTACCCTCAACTATATACATGCAGTATTTATATAATATGATGTCCACGGATACTAAAATCAAAGATGTCACTTTTTTCGTTATGCGGTATAATGACGGATCAAAATTATTCGTCCCTGGCACCTGTTTTACTTTGTACTGTATCTGTTAACAATAGTCTCAAGAAGTTCTTCAAAAGCGCGTGTGTAAACACGACAAGTTATGTGAATTGCTGTTTAATTTTAACAATTTCCCATACATGTATATTATACTTTCATGTACATTAATTGAATCTGATTCGTCGAGAAACATTTGTTAAAAAACACTATTATCCGCTGAATAATGGAGCCACGCCCTCCAGCGTAGCAACAGTTAACATTGCTTGACGACGGGTGTTATTCCAAAAAAAATATTGACTTCGCAGAATTCATGCGCGCAAGGTTCACTGTAATATGTATTTGAATAAAACATTCAGTATAATATAATAAATACTGGTTTTCTTGGGGTGAAAATTTTAAATGTTACACTCAACTACATGCAGTATTTATATAATATCTAATACTTTTCATCAATGAAATATTCAAAGAAAATGATGAGATTTCCAGAGAGCAGTAGGCCTACGTCAAGCAAATGGCCTTCAAAGATCTATCAATTCTGTGAAGACTGTGTGTTTTATCCGTGAACAATTTCTCTGTTTTAATATTTCTAAAATGTTTTATTACATAAAATAGATTTTATATAAAAAGTGAAAAAAAATCTGCTCAAAGTCCTATATTCACTTCCCTCGTGGTGAGCAGAAAAAAAGGTCTTATACACGTGTTTGTTGTACTTGTAATCAATATGTACATAAAAAAAGCCGCTGGCTAATGAACGAAGCAATGTAGAGGTAATATAGCGGTAATGTAATCTTTTTTGTAGTGGTAATGAGTATGTAGCAGTAATGAAAATTTTGAAAATGTAGCGGTAATGATATGCACCCTCCAAAACATATGACTCGATCTACATCCCCCCCCCCCCACTCCACCCCGGCCATTTGGCCGACCTATTTCAATACAAACCCCCTTTGATATTTTTTTTATTTGTAACAACTTAAGTTTTAAAACTTTTAATTTTATTTTATTATTTAAAGATTGGAGTTATTATTTACGGATTTGAATTAATTTTAATATTACACCAAATTTGTCTTCTTAAAAAAAATTATCCCAGGAACGTGTGTCGGTAGTAGTCGATGTTAGGGCCGGTACACACGGTAAGGCTTGTCTTATAAGTCTAAAACCTTACATTTTGCAGGACGGACGTAGCGTCCACACGCTAAGGCATGACTTACAAGATTATAAACAACATTTCCATAAATTCCACGTGTTTTTTGAGGCGTAAACAGTGCACATCATTAAAATAGAAGTATAGATTACTTGCTAGGACTTTGAAATAATTTTACAGACTAGTGCAATCACACTTCTTGAAAAAGAGGAGGTTGAACAAAAGCATTTGCGGATATTTGCATTATCTTATTCGAATATACTTAAAGTTCCCTTTAATCTACCCACGTGTTTGATAAAAAAATAGATTGAAATTTGTGTGAGTGGATTTCATTATTATAAGGCAAGTCTTACCGTGTGTACCGGTCCTTAATGATAATGGAAAATATTACATGTATGACGATAATAAGTAGATACACATGTAAAAGGCTATTCGAATTGAACAGTCTCGTATTTTTTTATACCGAACAATCAATCATTTAAGACGACA